TCTTGCCTCTCTATATTTTCTCCGATTTTCTTCCCTCTACTATGCCTGGTATGATTTTCAAGCCATCAGGTCTGGTACTACAGCTGCGGTAGACTATGTAGTGAGTCCTGCGATGTAACCACTATGCCATCTGCTGCCCCCCAGGCTTCGTTTCTAATTGTTAGGTTGTTGGAAAAGTCATGATGTATTTTGTTGTTTTTCTATGAAAAAATGTCATGACTTTGAGGATCCAACAGTTCTTTTACTATTGTCATTACACCTGCACTTACTGCCTCCAATGAAGTCTTAAACCCATCAAGGCTATCCATGAATTCTGGAATCAACTTCTTCCAAACTTGTTTTATTTATTTATATATAAATATATTTGTTTTATTTACACTGTAAATATTTTGACCTCCTCCTAGGAATCATGAATGTTCCTTTTTCTTTTTAAGTTTTTGCTAGAGAGCATGTGCACTCGCCAGCCAGGGAGAGAAACAGTGAGAGGGAAAGTGAGAATTACCCCCAGGGGAGATGGGCATGCTACAATCCCTTCCAGGTTCCTTTTGGGATTTTGGGCACATACACCCATGAGCCTGGGTGATTTCTCATTTTAATTTTAAAATTAATTAATTAATTATTCTTCAATGTGATGAGAGAAAGAGATAGAAAGAGAAAGCTGCCAAGGCCTGAATGCGAACCATGGTCAAGCCAGGGGGAGTCCAGCATCTTAACCACCATGCCACCTTCTGGTCCCTGAAATGCATTTCTTAAATAACACTTGAAGGACTGCCAGTTTGAATCCTGGGCCCGGAGGCTTGAAACTGACACTGGGCACGTGTCTGTGCACGCCCAAAATCCTGAGAGAAGAATGGAGAAGAGATTGTGGCATGGCCATCCCCCACGGGAGTGATTTCTCGCTTTTGGTTTCTCTGACTCTGTCTTTCTCTCAGGCAAGTACACTCACTCTATAGCAAAAAAATTTCGTAGAAAAAAAAAAGCTAAAAACTAGAAAGTCAAAATTATTCCTTAATGTGTAAGTTGCAGAATGGAAGTAGTGTTAGCAGAAACAAAAGCACATAAATTCTATAAAACTCCAACAGCTTTTGAGTAACCAGGTATATTGTCAACTAGTAATATTTTGAGAGAAATCTTTTGTTCCATCTATACTGGGCTGTTAGCAAAGTCATAATGCATTTTTGCATAGAAAAATATGTCATGACATTTCCAACAACCTAACAGATCACAGGCAGAGTAGATTTAACATAATTTTTAAATACCATAGGAGTTTTTGGAATGCTAAATAGACCCTGGCTTCAACTTAGTCAAGAGTCACATTAGTCCATAACAAAAGTCAGCCTGTCCATGGGGCCAGCAGGTGGCGTGGTGGTTAAGGATGCTGGACTTGCACATCATAGTTTGAGTCCTTGATGTGGCAACTTGCTTTCTCATTTTCCATCTCTCTCTCACTCTGTACTTCTCTGGTCAAATTAAAAATAAACAAACAAAGTTAAATAGTTCTAAAAATAAATAAATAAATAAGAGTAAGCCTGTCCTTTGAAACCAGGGATTGACTTCTCTCTACCATAAAAGTCCTACATGGCTTCTTCACCCAGTAAAAGGCTGTTTCATTTACACTGAATATCTGTTGGGGTGGCCACTTTTTTCTTCTTTTTTTAAATAGTTATTTGTTTAATTTAATTAATTAAGTTAAGTTGACAAGACAGAGAAGGAAAGTGAGAAAGCAAGCTGTCAGGTCTGGGACTCAAACCACGGCTGGCCATGTGTGAGTCCAGTGCTTTAACCACCACACCACCAGTTGGCCCCTGCCACTTTCATCATTTATCTTAGCTGAATCTGTGGATACCATGCTGCAGCTTCTGTATCAGCACCTGCTGCTTCACCTCGAAATTTGATGTTTCAGACAGCTTATTTTACTTACACTTTAAGCCTCATGAAACAAACTGCTAGCTTCAAACTCTTCTTATGCAGCTTCTTTTCTTTTTTCAGCCTTCACAGAATCAAAGTTAGGGCCTTGCTCTGGCTAGTTTGATCTAGACCCACTAAAACTTTCTCCATCTCAGCAATAAGACTGTTTTAAGTTTTTTTTTTTCCCCCCATAGGGTGCATATATTTGCTGGAGAGACAGATTGGGAAAGTGAGACACTAACCCTTAGAGGATTTTTTTTTTTTTTGGAGAGGTTTTTTCCATAGGGCGCGTGTGCTCACCAGACAGAGAGAGACAGAAAGCGAAATCCCCTCCCAGGGAGGATGGCCACGCCGCAATCCCTTCTCCTCCATTCTCCTCTCAGGATCTTGGGCATGCACGCACATGCACCCGGCATGAGTTTTAAGCCACTGGGTCCGGGACTTGAACCGTGGTTGACTACATCGGAGTTCAGCAACATAGCCATTACGCTAACTTCTGGTCCCTGGAGGATGATTTTGTACACACACACCTGGCGTGATCTTCAAGCTGCTAGGTCCGGGACTCAAATCATAATCAGCAAAGTAGTAACCCAGCACATTATCCACCATGCCACCTGTTTGTTTTCTTATTATTGTGTTTACTGGAGTAACACTCTCAATTTCCTTGAGAACTTTTCCTTTGTATTCACAACTTGGCTGTTTAGTGCAAGAGCCCTAGCTTTCAGCTTCTTGGTAAGTTTCCTTCACTAAGCTATTCATTTCTAGCTTTTGATTTAAAGTGTGACTGACACATAACTCTTCCTTTCACTTGAACACTTATGGGACCACTGTAGGGTTATTAATTAGCCTAATTTCAATATTGTTCTGTCTCACAGACTAGGGAGGCCAGAGGAGGACGGTTGGTGGAACACACACATTTATTGACTAGGTTTGCTATCTTATATGGGTGTGATCTGTGGGGCTCCAGAATTCAGATACCTGTGATATAATAAAAAAAAATTAAAAATACTGTGAGAATTACCAAAATGTGACACAGAAATTTAAATTGAGCACGTTGTTGAAATGGCACTTATAGACTTGTTCAACACAGAGTTGCTACAAATCTTCAATTTGTAAAAGCAAAACAGTAACAAAAATCCCCAAGGTATCTGTGAGATATAGTAAAGCAAAGCACAATAAAATAAGGTGTGCTTGTCTCTCTTTCTTGTTCCCGAGACCTGAACATTGTAATATGATGCTCCGTCAGGGCAAATATCCAGAGAAACATTTGGGTTGTGACTTGAAGGATGAGTGGCTTCCAGGGCATAGGGGAAGATCATTCTTGGTAGATGAATGGCAAGGAGAAAAGTCTGCCAAGTCTGAGCAACTAAAGTATGCAGGTGCAGGGAACAGGGCATAGGTGGAGAGGCCTGTGTGTGCTGGGCAGAGTTGGGTGTGGGGAGTTCACAGGTGGGGCACCATGGAATGGTGAGTACCAGGATCTGGGTGTGGAGAAGGGTGTATAAGTTGCCTCTGGGCCCAGTGTGGTGCTCAGTGCTGAGGTACTCAGGGCTCCTGGCACCACTCATGGCTTTAACAGTTCCTGAGGCTTCTCTCAAAAGAGCGGATAGGCCCCAGCACAGTTTCCGGACTGTTCACAGGGAGAACAGGCCCAGATGGGCTAGATGCCCAGGCCTGTCTGAAAGCAGACTTGGCCGTAGGGTCTTCCCCACTCCCTGCTGCCTCCACTGGAAGGCACTGAAGCCAGAGTCTTGGAGGTCTGTACTGGGGTCTCTGTCTCTCTCAAAGGTACTTCTTCTGCTCTGGTCATGCCCCAGCCTCAGATTTCCTTTTCCATGTGTCATCCATGAGCAAAGGGGTATGCTATTCTTACTCCCACCTGGAAAACAAAACAAAACAAAACAAGGGAAATCCTACACCTCCTCTGGCTATTGATACACTTCCTGTTCCCTCGTACAGTCTCCAGACTCCCCAGGACACATTGCTCCAACACATTCCTGACCTTCTTGGCAAGGTCACCTTGGTATGGGAGCTCGGTGGCCAGCACGTGGGACTCGTCTTTCTTGACTACAGCAGCCCTGCCTCGGCTTCCCACCCATGACTTGATCTCAGGTCTCTGGCGTGATCCTGTCTACTTGCTCTTCAGTGGCCTCATGCAGTTTGCAACTTTAAAGCCTTCTGGTTGTGAATGACAATCCCAAATTCCAGACATCTTACCAGGTGTCTGGTGGGATCCCAGACTCAATCTGTCCAGAACTAAGTTCCCACTCTCACCCCCACCTGCAGGGCACAAAGCCCCCATCCCTCTCGCCTTCTATCTGGATCCTGTCTCAGGAAATCCTATGGGTCCACTGTCAGAGTATTTCCAGAAATTGGCTCTCTACCATCTCCCTGACTAAAAGCCTGGTCAGGCCTCTCTGCTCCACCTTCACTCAAGAAAAAACCATATTCTTACATTTTAAAGAGGACTCACAAAAAGCGGTTTACCATGAGGCTGGAAGCAGTAGGAGACTCCGTGTAGGTGGTGAGTGGAAGTTAGACTGCAACCAGGAGGCAGCTTCATGTGAGCTTCCTGCAAATTACCTAGAGATCTTGGAAGAATGGGACCAAGTTGGGACTCCTTTTTTCATTTAAAATACTATTACCTAATTTAATATTTACTATTATTTTATTATACTTACAAATCCCTCCCCAAACATGGATGGGCACCTGCCTATAGACCATATGAACACCTGCCCATCTTTGCTGTGCTGTAGGGGCTCGGGGCCTCCTTTAAGTGGCTTTAATCTAATGTTCCTTTGTCCTCAAAGTACAACCTGGGTACCCTATCAGGAACTGCTGTCCCTATCCTCCTTTGTTATGCTGTTCCTTGGCACTTACCACATCATGCACAAACCCTCTCAGGACAGCTGAAGCTGATTGCTGTATCCCATTGCCTACTCTGTACTGGTGCCTGGATATGCCTGTCACACGGAGGACAGTGAAGAGTATCATAAACCCTAAACTGCCTCCTGGAGCTACAAAAGGGTTCGCACATCACTGGGTTGTCCCATCCCACCATGTGCCCCAGCAGAAAGCAACCAGACGAGGTCTCCTGCTGTACTAATGTATTCCATCTTTCAAAAAGAAAGACATGATTTTAATATTACTTAACAATATGTTAAAAAAGTAGCCAGGCAGGCCTCCGTGTTAATACAGTCGTACACTCTATAACAGACTTGATGGTGTGAGTACTGGGTGGGTTTCTTGTTTTTTAACTTTCTCATTCTGCAAGGGGTCTTACACAAGCTGGCTACAAGTCAGGGGGGATCAAACACAAACAGCGCAACGTGTACACTCAGAAACAGTAGATTGTGGAGGAGAACAAAGGAGGCCTGCCCTGCCCAGCCCGCCTCGGATGGGACGCAGGGGCACACGAGAGCTGAGTGACGGCCGACACCCCGGCGGGGACAGATGACAGGACAGGGTGAGATGCAGAGGCAACAGCCACATGGATGGTGCAAACTTGTTCTGGCCAGGGCCCAGGCCTCCGAGGCTGCAGTGGTAGGAGGAATTGGCAGGAACTACTGTTCCAATCCGACAGCACAGAGCTACGATCAAAGAAGTCTCACTCACAGACTACACGCACACGAGCTAACGACGCAGGTCGAGCAAGTCCTCAGTCTGGGGTCTCAGGCTGTGGCATCCCGCCCGCGTGGCTCTCGGTGGCCTGGCCACTCTGGGGGGCCAGTGGGGGGCTTGACTCTTGGGAACACAGAGTACAGCCCGGCCCACCTCCTGCGTGTCCCTCTCCAGCATTCCTCATCAGTGGGCTGCAAAGGTGGCTTTTTTCAAGCTAAAATTGGACCAGTTGATAGACAGTCTTTGTCGGGTCTGTCTTGCAGAATCCAAGCAGAACCTATGAAGACAAAAAGGCAAACAGTCACCAGAGCAAATACCCCACACCCAAACTGATGCCGGGCAAAGTCTACTAGCCTCCAGGTTCTTGCTTTAAACTCACTGGTGAGGACTTAGTGAAAGGTGTCTAGAGTCAAAGGTTCCCTCTCACCTCCTAAACACCTTGCTGCAGGCCTCATTTCAGAAGGTGCAAGGACCCTTGGGAGACAGTTCCATCTTTGGGATACTGGCCAGGTGTTCTGTGTGTTCTGTCTCGAGTCCTGGTTTCCTACCTTTTCCTTCAGAGAACAGCAAGGTTACAAGACAAACAACATGCTCAAGGTGGAGGGTGGGAGGGGTGGCTAGACCTGGAATACAGGTCTCTGTCCCTCCTTTCTGGGAAGGGCTGAGCTCAGCCTTTAGGGGAAGTGTGTTATAGGCCCATCAGAGAATGTGAAGTGTATCCTGCCTGGTCTTGTTGAAAGCCACCAGCTTGCCCATCTTCCTTCCTCATGTGGCTGTGACAAGAAGGGCCTGGAGGTGGCTGTTTACCTACCCTAGTGGCACCTTGTGGTCCTGGGTGTCTGGTCTGGTACCACAGCAGCAGCCTACGGGGGAGCAGGTAATGGCTGTGTGTGTATGCGTGTGTGGAGGGGTTGCAACTGTGCACCTCAGACATATCCAAGGCTAATGGGAGTGGGAAGGTGGGACTAGAGGGTAGCCTCAGGCTAAGGGTTACCACGCAAGAGGCCAGGAAGGCTGATATAGCAGTGGCTCAGTGGACAGAAACAGGCTGGAGTAACCGAGGGAAGGAATGAAAAACCCAGGGCTGGGCTGGTGGCCTAAGGTGACCATAAAATCAGGAGATGTGCTCAGGACTGTGTGAGAGGCCACCAGAGGCCCTGAGATAAGCCCTAGAGAGCTTATGTGACCTGGAAGCTCCTTCCTGGTCACCATGGAAGCCAACTCTATCAACTCTTTTTCAACTCTATCAACTCTTTTTCAACTCTACCTGGGAAAGCAGAATTACAAGACAAAAGCAAATTAACATGAGCTCTGCCTGCCATGGGAACTATGGAGAAGACTGGCCACAGAGCAGGAGGCTCTGGTGCCTGGATGATCAACCACTAATCCTGGGATCAGCAAATGTTTTCTGTAATGGGCCAGACAGTAAATACCTTGGGCTTTGCAGGCCCTATGTTCCTGTTGAAACTACTCAACTCTGCCACTGTAGCAAAAAGCAACCACAGAGAATATGTAAGCATAGCTGTGATCTAATAAATTTTATTTAGAGACAAGGAAATTGGAATTTTGGATAATTTTTCTGTGTTATGAAATATTTTTTCTCCTAACTACTTAAACGAAGAATTTTCAGCTCATGAGTTGTACACATAGATGACAGGCTGGGTCTGGCCTGTACCTCATAGCATATGACCTGTATTAAGATAAGCTTGGGCCAGCCGGTAGCATAGTGGTTAAGGTGCTGGATTCCCACATGGTCAACCACAGTTCAAGTCTTGGCTTGAAACTTACCAGGCATGTGTGTGTGCATGCCCAAAATCCTGAGAGGAGAAGGGATGACAAGGGAACAAGGGATTGTGGTATGGCCATTACCCCTGGGGGGTGATTTCTCACTTTCTCTCTTTGGTGAGTGCACGTATGCTATACCAAAAATCTCTCTCTAAAAAAAAAAAAAAAAAAAAAGATAAGCTTAGTCCATGTATAAATCACTAAGATTTCAGTCTATCCTAATTTATTCATAAATTCAAACATGAGTGTAATCTGAAGTGAAGAAGATAGGATTACAATACTCTGATCATGTCTTCCTTACCCTCCCTCCAGTTTGGGGACATGTTGCCTATAAATAAAAGCCCACCAGCCTCTGAGGCTGGGTGTTAGCCTCTACGCTCCTTGTCTGTGCTCTGGATTACAACTCCCTGCATGCTAACAGCTTTTAAGAGAGCCTGCTTTGCCCCCTAATTCCCAGGCAAAAATGGCTGATTATTATTGTTATTTGGCATAGGGTATGTGTGCTCACTAGAAGAGAGAGAAAAGGAGACATGATTCTCTAGAAGGGATGGCCATGCTACAGTCCCTTCTCCTCCATTCTCCTTTCGGGATTTTGGGCATGCATGCACATGTGCCTGGCTTGTTTTTCAAACCCCTGGGTCTGTGGAACTGTGCAGGTGGCCATGTGGGATCCATCTACCTTAACCGTCATGCCACCTAGCCATAATGGCTGATTCTTATACTGAATGAAGAAAAGAACATTTTCTTTCAAAAACCTTTACTTTGTATAATTTAAGTTTTTTCCATTCTGGCTCTAATTTGGGTGGCAAAAATTTGAGTGAAATGTGAAGTGGTTGTCACTCAGCTAGAAGGTAAAATTAAGTGTACTTGCTTAAACTGTGGTTCAGTAATCTGACTACAAATATTTGTGAATGCCTAAATTTGCACACTTTGACCTCCATTCAGGCCTGAGTCCATTGCCAGGGAAGGGCTGTTCTACCTCCTAGAATCCAAATTCTCTCCCTGCTACAGCTGGCCAAACTGAGTCTGTACCATCACCTTCTACGCTTTAGGAAGCTTCTGCTGCTACTATCACCTTCCAATTCTAGCAATCACCTCCTGACTCTCCATTTGTGTGTGTGACCTCTGGCCCCACACCTATCTCTACATACCTGTGGAATGCTTAAAACCATCAATCATATGCCTGCCCAGAGTCATTCAATGAAGAAATCTAATCATAACCAGTAAGAACTGTTTTTCTGTTTTGTTTTTTAAGATTTCTGCCTAAAACAAACCAACCAACCCTGAGGTGCTTGCCAGAGAGAGAGAGAGAAAGACAGTGAGAGGGAAAGTGAGAAATCATCCCCCAAGGGGGATGACTACACTGCAATCCCTTCTCCTCCATTCTCCTCTTGGGATTTTGGGCACACACACATATGTGCCAGCATGATTTTTTCTTTCTTTCTTTCTTTTTTGAGAGGTTTTTTTTTTTTTTCCCCTTTTGGGGGTTTTTTTTTTTTTTTTTCCCTTTTTTTTTTTTTTTTTTTTTTTCTATAGGGTACATGCATTTGCTAGAAAGACAGACAGAAAGCAAGAAATCACCCCCTTGGGGATGGCCATGCTACAATCCCTTTTCCTCCATTCTTCTCTCAAGATTTTTGGCACGCATTCATACACACCTGGGATGAGTTTCAAGCCACTGGGTCCAGGACGAGAACTGCAGCTGACCATGGGGGAGTCTAGTGCCTTAACCACTATACCACATGCTGGCCCTTTTTGGAAAAGTTCCTGGGTAGGAAGTATTGGGTTGTTGGAAAAGTCATGATGTATTTTTTCTATTCAAAAATGCATGATGACTTTTTTGATGACACAGCACAATTTAAGGTTGAACAGAAACAATAATAGGTAGCATTTTTGTTTTGCACATGCTTTCACATCTTTCTCTTTTAGGAACTGTTTCATATAGATATCTTTTTTCTTGTAGTGCAGTAAATCATGTATACCACCAGGTTAAGGGTATCTCCTATTGCTAGTTTACCATTTTCCTCTTAATTGTAAGTGGATGCTAAGATTTTTTTATCGTCAGAAGTTTTTCATTTTTAAAATTTCTCAATTGTCAGAGGTGGGGGCCAGCTGTACAATTTGAGTCCTGGAATCAGTGACTTGACTAACATGCTAGGTGCGTGTGCCTGCATGCCCAAAATTCTGAGAGGAAAACGGAGAAGGGATTTCAGCATGTCTGTTCCCCTGGATGGTGAATTTTCACTTTCCTTCTCTCTCTGTCTCTATTAAGTGTATGCACATTATAGCAAAAAAAACAACAAAAACAAAAACTGTCAGAGCTGTGTGCACTTGCCAGAGAAGAGGAGAAAGCACCACCCAATGGGGCATGGTCATCCTGCAATCCCTTAATTTCTCCCCTGTAAGGATTTGGGGTATGTCTTTTTCAAGCTGCCTGGGCTGGGATTTGACCCCCAGTTGGCCATGTGGGATCCAGCTTCCTAAACCATGAGGCCATGTGGAAGCTCTCATATTTTCTTCTTCATTAAGACTTTATATTTTTCATTATGTTGGTGGGTTCATTTGTTCATTCATTCATATCTGCTATAGGGTACATGTACTTACTGGAGACACAGAGAGGGAAAGTGAAAAACATCCCCTGAGAGGGATGGCTATGCGACAGTCACGTCTCTATTCTCCCCTCAGGATTTTGGACACACATCCAGTGTGTTTTTTAAGCCACCAGGACTAGGACTTGAACTGCATACCTGGCCATGCAGTATCCAGCCATCTTTTTTTTTTTTTTAACTTTATTTATTTATTTTAATTTGACCAGAGAGTGACAGAAAGAGAGAAAGTGAGAAAGCAAGCCACCAGGTCCAGGACTCAAATCACGGTTGGCCATGTGGGAGTCCAGCGCCCTTAACCACCACACCACCTGCTGGCCCTCGGAGCCAGCTGTCTTAACCGCCACACCACCAGCTGGCCCCTATTTTATTTTATTTAAGTTTTTAAAATATAATTATTTATTTAATTTTACTTGTTGTTATTTATTTTTTAATTTGACCAAAAAGAGACAAAGAGCAAGACAAAGTGTGAAAGCAAGCCACCAGGTCTGGGACTCAAACCATAGTCAACTGTGTGGGCCCAGTGCCTTAACCACCATGCCACCTGCCGGCCCCTCATTTAAATTTTAAAATTGCTTGCAGGGCCAGTTTGTGGCCTGGTAGTTATGTGAGCTGGATCCTACATGGCTGACTGTGCAGTTCAAATTACAGGCCTGGTGGCTTCAAAAACATGCCATGCCCAAATCCCAAATGGAGAAGGGATTGTGGCATGACCATTTGTCTTGATGGCAAGGGAAGGATGTGTGTGCTTTCTCACTTTCCTTTTCTCTCTCTCTCCAGCAAGCACATGTGCCCTCTGGCAAATTAAAAATCAATCAAATTTAACAAACTTGTTCCCAGTGTTCTCTTAGTTTATTTTAATTTCTGTACTGTCTATAATGATTTCCTTTTTACTTATACACTTACAAAATTAAACAAAACTTTTTTATTATGGAACATTTCAAACACACCAAAGTAGGATACAATAGTCACAGCCTAACTTTTACAATTATCAACATTCTATTTCTTTGTCCATTTAATTATGGTAATTTTTGTTTCTTTTCTTGATCAGCCTACTAAAGGTTTATTTAGTGTCTTTAATGAATCATATTTTGGCTTTACTAATCTCCTCTACTATACCTTTATTATCTTTTTAATTTACCAGAGGGCACATACACTCACCAGAGAGAGAGATAGAGACAGAAAGAGAGGAAAAGGGAGAAAGCACCCCCTGATGAAGCATCTCACCACCAAATATGTCATTTATTGCAGGTTTTTATTGTGGATACTTTACTTTTTACCACATTAAGAACATGCCCTTCTGGGGCCAGATGGTGGGTGGTTGGGGCCCTGGACTCCCACATGGCCAACCATAGTTTGAGTCCCGAACATGAGGGGTTGAGTTCTTACTTTCCCTTTCTCTCTCTGGTCAAATTAAAAAATAAATAAAATAAAATAAATAATTCTTAAAAAAAAAAAAAAAAGAAAATGGAAAAAGGATATACCCTTCTAGTCCTAGTTTGTTACAAGTTTTTATTATGAAGGGATGGTAACTTTAGCAAATGCTTTTCTGCACCTGCTAATATAAACTACACAGAAAATAGATATAATTTCCAGAAACACTTAGAATTTTATATTTCGTACATGAGTAAATAATTTTTTTTTGCATTGCATACTACTTCTTTTGTGTGTATTTAAAACAAAGAGTGCTGCTTCCAAAGGAAAAAATGAGTTTCAAAATAATTTTTATCTTAATTCACATAGTAGATAAAACATTACTGAACATAGTACTCATAAAGTCTAAGAGAAAAACTGAGCAAATAACTGAAGTATTACCTTACTCCTTAAAAACATAACACATCAGTGTGTTCCAATACCAAAACACATCAGGAACACCTGAAGGCTCACAAGAACACAAATGGCAGTCTTTCCCCAGAGTTGACTCGGCAGGTTTGAGAAAAGGCCCAGGTTCCCAGATGATTCTGCTGGTCTAGGACCACTGTGAAAATCACAGCTACAACTATTCTTTGAACATACAGGGGCAAGAGAAGTGAGTGTGTGAGAATGAGTATGTGTATGTTATAGATGGGACAGGTAGCAGGCATAACCTGCCAGAATGCTACTAGTAACCAGGCTGCTGACTGACCCAACTTCATTCAACACAACCAGTGATATGGGAGGATTATGAGAGAGAAAATCAAACATGTATGGCAGTAATGAAACACTGTTTCGAACACGAAGCCCTCCCATTTACCTTTTGAAATACTCCACTTCCCTTTCTGTCTCATCCATATCCACACTGTCTAGGTCGATATCTTTAGGCAGAAAGACATCATCTGTAAAATCAAAGAAAAGAGGCAAGTCAAATTATAACAACAGGCTGCTATGGTCGGAATGTATTCTCCCAAAAATGCACACCCTGAAATCTGGCTATGATGCGATTAAGCAAGTAAAAATGTAATATAATTACGGTGTTTAAAAAAAACCCGGGAGATTAGAATAAGAAAAAAATCATCAGGGTACACCCCAACACTCTTCAGAAGATTCCTGGGGGCCCAGCTGCAGTGGCATAAGTGGAAGGGTGCTGCTGCAAAATGGCTGAAGGCATATGGCAGGTGTGGTGGCATAAGCTTGTGGTCTTAGCTAACTGGGAGGTTGGGGCAAAAGAACTGAGACATGGTAAGACCCTGTCAAAAGTAGTTTCTGGTGGCCAGGCACTGTGATGCAGTGCCCTGCAAGGGCGGACTCTACGTACTGACTGCAGGTTCAGGTCCTGGGTCAATCTGAAAACATTCTGGACATACACACAGGTGTCTAGGATCCTGAGGAGCTAGAGAGCTGGGAAAAGAGGATCATGGTGTGACGAGACCCTGTAGAGGGTTTCTCTCTCTCACATACATGTGTGTGAGTTTCTAAGCACCTGCACGAACGCACGGATAACTCATCTCCTATGTGGACAACTTTTCTCCTACACAGGCAACTCTGTCTGAATGCCCTGCTGGCCTAGAGCTCCCTATCCTCTGACTTCTGTACTTGTTCCCTGTACCTCCTCTGTATCCCTAGGGGTCTCAGTAGCCACCTGGATGCTGACAACCACCAATCCCCCACCCTACCCTCACCTTACATCTCCTTCCTGAGCACATCTATCAAGCCACCTCGTCTTCTATGTCAACCCTTCAGTCACCTAACTCCCAACATGGGCAAAACTGCACCCAGTATAATCTGCTGCCAGCATGCCCTTTCTCCTGTGCACCCAGGCTGCCAAGACATGACCTAGCAATGGTTGTCCCTGCTCTTCCCCCCTCTCACATTATACTTTCACCAGGTGAGGCATATTCTTCCTAAGTCAGAGATCACTGCTCCTGTCTACCTACTGCTACTGTTTCTGTGCTGGGCTAGACCATGACATCCTCACCTCCCTTTCTGGCTCCTCAGTCCTAGGTTTAACTTCACCTGATCTAATATTGGCTAAGCAAACCCTACAAAATGACCCAACTGCAGCAGCAACCCCATTTCCACAGCCCAACCTGTTCCTTCCCAATCTCTGAGACATATTACAACCTCGCCTGTACCCTCCATCTGTGTATGGCTCTCCTGCCTTGGCCTCTACAGTGGCTGCACCTCTACCTGGAAGGTCTCTTCATCACCGGATCACCACCCACTCTCCTCTCCTATGCCTATCCGGACTACTGGGCTCGGCCCATTCTCTCTATGTGATGTTTTACATTTTGTAAGAGAGGATAAGGTTGGGGCAGTAATGGTGTAACTTAAATGATTCAGAGTGTGAAAAACCCTGGAAAGGAACAGATGCTCAATTCAAAACAAAACAATTATTTTAAGAATACAGCACCTGGGCTGGCAGGTGGCATGGTGGCTAAGGGCACTGGACTCCTACATGGCCAATCATGATTCAAGTCCTGAAATTGGCAGCTTGCTTTCTCACTTTCCTTCTCTCTCCCTCTTGCTCTCTTGTCAAATTAAAATAAGTAAATAAATAAAGTTAAATAATTCTTAAAAAAAAAAAAAAGGACTACAGCACATGCTTCATACTCATTCTCCCTATCCCTACTCTATAACCACTTTGGCTATTTCAGTCCACACTTGTGTTCATAAGGGTACACAGCTGGTTTGAGGGCTGGGTCATGCTTCCCCAGTAGACTCAGGACCAAAAGGAAATGACTAAGTTCAATGGAAACACAGCCAGTGACTGAAGCCTAATGCAGAATGGCAAATATGAGCGAGAGCACAGGGACAGATGCTGACTTTAGAAGGCTCCACACATCTGCAGAGAGGCCCTTCAGAGGCATGAGCAGGCAGCTCAAATTTTTGTTTTTTAAAGATTCAAGCAGCAGGAAAAAAAAGCCCCAGAATGCACGAGGAAGGGTGAGACAGGGCAGGAACAGGAAAAGATGTAAGAAAAGTGAAGTACAGAAACCACAATCTCAACAACCATTCATCCCATAAATGGTTCTAGAAGAACAGCTCCAGCTTGGGACCAGCAGTTAGCGTAATGGCTATGTCGCTGGACTCCCACGTAGTCGACCGCAGTTCGCGTCTCGGACCCGATAGCTTAAAACTCACGCCGGGCGCATGTGCGTGCGTGCCCAAGATCCCGGGAGGAGAATGGAGGAGAAGGGATTGCAGTGTGGCCATCCCCCTGGGGGGTGGTTTCTCGTTTTCTATCTCTCTGTCTGGCGAGTGCATGCACCCTATAGCAAAACAAACAAACAAACAAACAAACAAACAAAAAAACTCTTAAAAAAAAAAAACCCAAAAAACAAAAAAACCTCTCAAAAAAAGAACAGCTCCAGCTTTACAAGACAAATGATGTATAGTGACTGAATGTTTTAAAAAAATATAATTTGAAAAAAAAAAAGAAAAGCTATTTGATGATGATTATGTAGATAGCAATATTTTTGTCTTGACTAATATGCATGGTAATCATGCTGGAAAAAAATGTTATACACTGTAAAGATATATGTGATTAAATGCAATATAAAAAAATAACAATTAAAAAAACCCAGCTCCAGCCACAAAGGCAAGCACAGAGTTGGCATGTCTTCAGGAAGTACTTCACACTAAAGAGATTTCTAGTATTCTTAAGTTATAATTAGAACTGAAAATCAGTCTGTAAAATCTTGGTATAAGAAGAAAATGAAACACATTATTTTTTTTAAAGAGATTTTTGCTATAAGGTACATGTACTCGCTGGAGAGACAGAGAAAGACAAACAGAAAGTGAGAAACCATCCCCCCTGAAGGATGGCCATACTGCAATACCTTCTCCTCCATTCTCCTCTTGGGACCTTGGGCATGCACGCACACATACGGTGTGAGTTTAAGCCACCGGGTCCAGGACTTGAACCACAGTTGACTGATGGGAGTTCAGTGATGTAACCATTATGTCATCTGCTGGTTCTTAAACACAATTTTAACCAGAGTAACTGGAAGAGATTTTCTATAACAATGCCACTTTTTTTTTTTTTTGACAGGTTTTTGCTATAGGGTACGTCTGCTCGCCAGAATGACAGAGAGACAGAAAACAAGAAATCACCCCCCAGGGAGGATGGCCACGCCGCAATCCCTTCTCCTCCATTCTCCTCTCGGGATCTTGAGCATGCACGCACATGCACCTGGCTTGGGTTTAAGCTACTGGGTCTGGGACTCGAACCGCAGCGACTACATGGGAGTCCAATGACATTGCCATTACGCCAATTGCTGATTTCAGTAGTACCACATTTAAAAAAAAATAATTATTTTATTTTAATTATTAATTTTGAATGTGATCAGAAAGAGACAGAGAGAGAAAGGGAATATAAGAAAGCAAGTCACCAGGTCCAAGACTTGAACCAATAGTCAATTAGTAAGAGTCTAGTGCCTTAACCACCACATCACCTACTGGCCCCTCAGTAACAGTATTTGAAAGCTATCTGTCACTGTTAATATGACAGGAAACAGTTAACTTTGCCAGAGTTCAGAGAATTCTGGAGCCCTACTTGAGGCAATACATCTGAGGATAAGCATCAGCCATCCAAAGATGACAGGACACTCAGCAGAAGGACCTGCCTGCATACCCTATATTAACTGCATACCTAAGGGCATCTACTCCATGTCTGAAAAAGCAGAATGCAGGTGAAAAATGAAGAGAACAGACCAGGAAAGAGCCATGCAGAAGAATGGAATTAGCAATGAACAGGTGTTAGAGGATCCTCATAACACCAATAAGGTAGGCTATGAGAGGATAAACAGAGAACCCAAGCACTGTGAGCATTAAAGTATAAAGGAAAATACCATGTCAAAACACAAACTTTTCTTAAAAAATCTTTTTCTTTTAGGTTTTTGTCATAGGTATGTGTGCTTGCCAGAGAGAGAGAGAAAGTAAGAAATCACCTGGGGGGGTTAGTGGCCATAAAAACACACATGTGCCCACATGATTTTCAAGCCACCAGGTCTAGGACTTGAACTGTGGTTGACCATGTGGAAGTCTGGCATTTTAATCACCACACCACCTACTGGTTCCTTTATTTTCCCCTAAAGAAATAAAATAGAAACCAGCAGATAGCATAATGGTTACGTTGCTGGACTCCTCTGTAGTCAACTGTGGCTTAAGTCCCAGATCCAGCAACTTAAAACTCATGCTGGGTACATGTGTGTGCACGCCCAAAATCCAAGAGGAGAATGGAGGGGAAGGGATTGTGGTGTGGCCATTCCCTCTGGAATGCTTGCTTTTTGTCTCTGTCTGTCCAGTGAGCACGTGTGCCCTATAGCAAAAATCTCTCAAATATAAAAAGAAAAAGAGCAACTCCCCCATCACATAAAAAAGCAGTAAATATAAAATATAGGAAATAATTATAAAATAACCACAAGGTGAGGCTGGCAGGTGGCATGGTGGTTGAGATGCTGAGTCAACTACAGTCGACTCCCACATGGTCGACTGTGGTTTGAGTCCCAGACCTGGCAGCTTGCTTTCTTACTTTCCCTCTCTCAGTCAAACTAAAAATAAATATAATATTTTTTAAATGATGGAGTTGGGAACAACTATGTAATCATATCCATAAACGTGGATGAACTTAACTCACAAAAGAGGAGATTTTCAATGTGGCTCACAAAGTAAGATGGCTGTACTATACATAAGAGAATCACCTAAAATCAAGACAGTGAGAAAAAGCTGGAAACCAAGGGATGAGGACAAAGCCAATGGAAGCAAAAAAAGGCAGGGACAGCAATCACGATCCTAGCAGAAGAAGAACTCAAGCCAAAAGCACAAAACAAAACAAAAAGGAGGACTTTAAAAAATACTAAAAGCCACAATTCACAAAGAACATGTAACAGGTAGG